CAACAATTCAACTTCGATGAAAAAGGTATTCACTTGCACCACAAATTTTATGATTTGCGATTGGTGTAGCGGCAACATAAACGGGTTACTGAAGGGTTGTCACAGCAATTCCTAAAACTCAGATCGGCTCGGCCATACAATATTCACTCATTCCTGGATTAAGGTCCAGGTTGCGAAAACCGCAGTTCCGGCCCATCTGCTAGGCAAGATTCCATTCCCGCATCCTGCATTGCTAGCTTCCTCTCGGCATCAAGGTTTAGGCTGAAAAACTCATAGCAGCACCCTCCACCATAAACCCCGCTCCCCGTTTACAACTCTATCTTCAGGCAGGGTCTCATTTTCTTTGCTGTTAACAACCTCATCTCTTCCCTTCCGCTACGGCCCCCGCGGCCCAAAGCACCACCATCGTCCCTTATCCCCTCCTCTCCCGCAGCCCTTATCCCCCACCCCTCAGTCACTGCAATCTGCCTTTCGATCTGGCTGGCCCGAACCGAGCTTTAGTAGTTGTTGTCAATAGTTCAACTGCTTAAATGGTGCTTGAAAAAACAGTCCCCAGTATACCACTGTCAATTTAAAGCTAAAGAATAAACTGGGGGAGTATATTACTATGGGCGGTAGCAACAACAGTAAAGGCAGTAATATTGCAGGCCCATTCATCAGCCTGCTACCCTGTAAATAGGACTTTAAATACCCGGAAATTTATCAGACAAGCCAATTAGCATGGGTGGTGGCGACTCATCATTATTTTCTTCGTGTTGCTCACTTCCACTTTCCGAAGGCAATACATTTGGATGTGGCAAAATTGCACTTTGTGCTGGAACACTCCATACATCACCAACTGTATCCGCAGCTGTTGCAGCACCTGACCCGAATGCTTCAGTATCGGGAGCCTGGGCAAGCAATGAAGCACGTGGAATTTCCAGAACCACTTGTGAAACTTCCTGATGCTGGCTATCACACTGCGCGTGCAAACTGCGTAGGTAAGCTACGCTTAAAACCATGCTTTGTGTTTCTGTATCCATATCAGCAAAATCTCTACCTGAAAAAAAAACCCTTTAAAAATTTAAAACAAATTTTTTAATAAATTTGATGCTTACAGTCCCCAAATTTGTTCGGAATTTAGGGGCAAAGCATAAGACTTTACAATACACTGAACAAAGTAATAAATATAAAAGTTTATAGACCAGTTCCAAA